GGGGGTTCCTGATCAGAATCCGATTTAGCTGGATGGGTTAAACGTGTGCCCACGTCGTATAGACCATTTAGCTACATGGGTTAAGTGGAGTAACTCTCCCCGACCAGGGGGACTATCATGGGCCTAGGGGGTTGCAACTCACTTCCTAGGTAAGATACCATATAGTCTCAGAGCTATGCCGAGGTAGCTACTTGTAGGGCATCAATCATACATAGGTTGAATAAGGGAACTTTTAAGGTTTAAATGAAAGGACAAAGAACCAAAGAAGCCCCAAGGAGCTAAGATTAAAACTAGACGTCCTAGAGCCAAAGTAAAGCCCGTGGAAATTTCTTAAGATTAAGGTGCGATAAGAACCTACAAGTAGGTGGCTTACTGAGTATAATATTTATACTCATCCTTGTTATATCTTCCTTTTTTAGGTACGTGAGACGTTGGGTCAAGTGAGGGCGCGTCGAGGGATGTGGATTGTCACAAAGGAAAGCATGTTTCGGGGTGTCCGTCCGGTCTTATCTATTAGTACATTTTGTCCTTCATGTTTTCTTCCATTGTCTAAACTAGTCACCTATGGTCTCTTTGTATTGTAACACTCTTCTTCTAAAATAAATGATTGATTTTTTGGAATGATGTTTTCCTTGAATTTCTTACATACACACTACACGTCATAGTCATTGTAAGTCACGACTTGAGGTTAAATTTTGGGATGTGATAAATTTGGTGTCAGAGCAACACGACATTGGTCTTATAGACACTTAAGTTAGAGAGTCATATCCTCTGTGACACGACCATCAATCACGTGTCACTCACAACTAGAAAACCTCATGGATTTGAATTATGAAGTCAAGAGCTAAGTTGTTGTAACCGCAAATTTTCTATTGTGGTAGCTAATGGCACCAAAGTGACGTGGACCCTATCTTGGGTCTGGACCAAGAAGGGGAAGAAGAAGAGTCGCTCAGGACACTGATGTTCCATCACCTGAGGTGGAACAACCTGAACCTAAACCTCAAAAGGAGGTTGGTGAAATGCCCTAATGGTACGAGAGTCCAATACCATGGGCACCAAGATCAGGAATTAGTCGGAGGAGAACGATGACTCAAGACTTGCCTGACGCAGACTCTACTGCTCATCGGTGCCCACCAATAATATAGAGGTTCCAGTTAGCCAGCCAACAACTAATCTCACTACGGATGTACTACAGACATTTATGTTAACCTCTATGGAAAATCAGACTCAAATGATGTAGACACTGGTGGCTAACCAGACGACAATGCAACAAGCAATACAACAGACAATAATGCAACAGACAACAACACAACAGACAATATTGCAAGGGATCAGAGACTCAGGGACCATAACTGTGGAGTCTCGTTATCTGAAAGACTTCCAAAGGCATAACCCGCCTTCCTTTAACAATGGTAAAATAGATCCCCTCGCAGTGGAAACCTAGCTCGAGCCTACGCCTATGGAAACAACCATCTTTTTCATGAATTGTCCGCTAGAATATCAGGACCATTACGAAACTTATATGTTAAAGGGAGAGGCTCATTTCTGGTGGAAGGGTGCTCAAACAATTATAGCATTAGAGAGTCTATCACCTGGAGTTAGCTTGTAACGCAAAAAAAAAAAAAAAAAAAAAAAA